ATTATGGTGAAACCCGGCCTCGCCCACGAGTAAAGAGAAAGCGAGTCAGCACGACTCTAAGAAAGCGAGTCATTAAGACTCTAAGAAAGCGAGTCTTGGAGACTCTAAGAAAGGAAGAAGCAAAGCGAGTCATTTTTGGCTCTAAGAAACCTCCACAGAAAAAGTATTCTTTTTACAAAAGAGTGTATATGTATATGTACCTATACTTTTATATCTTGCATGAGATTGCATGATTAGTAGCATGAGTTTGCTTATTATATATCTTGCACGAGATTGCATGATTAGTAGCATGAGTTTGCTTATTATATATCTTGCACGAGATTTCATGATTAGTAGCATGAGTTTGCTTATTATATACCTTGCACGAGATTGCATGATTAGTAGCATGAGTTTGCTTATTATATATCTTGCACGAAATTGCATGATTAGTATCATAAGATTGCTTATGAGTTATTTGATAACATGAGTTGCTTATGAGTTATACGCCTTGCACTAGCTTGCATGATTGATAGTATGAGCTTGTAGTGAGTTATATGTCTCGCAAGAGAATGCATGATAAGTATATGATATCATATGAATGCTTATTTGACTTATATGAGGAATCATGAGTTTATTGAGTAATTGAGAAGCTTAGTTTGTTCATGAGATGAGAATGTGATAAGTTGTTATTGAATAAGTATGCCTATATGAGTATTAGGTTGCAAGCATCTAGAAGTTTATGCCAAGTATGTCTAAGTGTATATGCATGTTTGAGCAAAGAATGTTGAACTTTGTTTTCCAAAGTATATACTGTATTTACTTTACAGGGTTGAGTGGCGTTATACTTAGTTTCGTCCTAATGGGTTTTGTTTGCTACTTGTTGTTTGTTAACCCCTTTCAGGTGGGCCCAGTTCGTAAGTACGAGAGAGCACGAGTTAGACTAGTTTAGTTAGATGACTTTGTAGTCTAAACTCTTGTTATTTTGGGTTTTGTAGTAAGCTATCCCTTTTGTTGGTGCTGGACACCGGGGTTTCATTCCCTTAGTTATTCGGATGCTAGTTGACTTGAATGTTTAGTTTTACCCTTAACCTGTGCAATCACCGTGAGGAGGTGATTGTGGCGGTGACACTCCTGTTAAGTTGTTATTTAAGTTTTCTTTTCCGCTACTTAGTTTATCTTAATTTTTTTCCGCTACTTAGTTTATCTTAATTTGGTTTTAGTACTTTAATTAAGTTTAAGAAAAGTGGGGTGTTACACCGCGGTTTTCCAATACGGGTTGGGAAACTTGACCCAACCCGTATACAATGGGCTGGCGGGTTAAACGGGCCAGCCCGTCAGCTCGTTTATTATTTTTTTTTAATTGTTATAAAAGTTTTGTGTATGACAAAAATTGAACCTTTGACCTCTCATATAAATAACCAAACTTTATTACACTTGAACAACCTATACTTTTGAAACAAAATGTGTGTATAAACATAAATAAGTGTATATAGATATATATGAACAGTACACATAGTCACATACACACACATGTAACTATATTTAATTTATAGAGTTTATAAAATATATAAAATAAATAAACTTTATGTTAATTATATAATTATTTTAATATTTACATAAAATTATAATTAATCATATAAATAAAGCTTGTAAACATAATAATATGATTAATTTAACTATATATAATTGAATTTATAATTATTTATCCGTTATGTTATATATATATATATATATATATATATATATATATATATATATATATATATAATGCTAGTTTATTAAATGTCAACCAATAAATCAATTACATAATCATATGATTCATGAATTATACAAATATATAATATATAATTATGAAACATAATGTATGTAATTATGAAAACATATAATACATGTTCATATGTTGTATGGTTATATATATTTATATAAATAATTTACAATTGAGTCTCCGTACAACTACTCATGTACATGCGGTACAGCCGTGGTATATGTCTAAATAGTTGAGCAATATATATTTAGAGTAAAAGACATTTTTAGTCCTAAATTTATAGTGGCTTGGACAATTTTAGTCCTTTATAAAAAAATTTGCCATTTTATGGACAGAGTTATTGTGGCGAGGACATTTTTGGTCCTCCGTCTATATTTCTGTTTGATAACCGTCTGAGAGAGGGGTAATTACGTCAATTTAGGCTATCTCCTTCTATCTATTATATCTATGTGTGTTTTGTTTTCTTCTCGGTCATAATTCGAAGGAGTCGGAGAGTCCAAGTTGCAGTTGTACGAAGAAATTGCCGGAGAATCGAAGCCGCCAAACAGGTTACTAATCAAATAGATAGAAAGAGAATCGAAGCCGCCAAACACACATAGATATAATAGATAGAAGGAGATAACCTAAATTGACGTAATTGCCCCTCTCTCATACGGTTATCTAACAGAAATATAGACGGGGGACCAAAAATGTCCTCGCCACAATAACTCTGTCCATAAAATGACAAATTTTTTTATAAAGGACTAAAATTGTCCAAGCCACTATAAGTCTAGGACCAAAAATGTCTTTTACTCATATATTTATGTACCAAAGATATCTGTATCGATACTCGTTTTATTCTATAAAGTAAATAAGTAATGAACCTCAGTTCGCTTAACTATTTAAAGTTATGAATTCTGTTGTGTAAATGAACTTCTAGCATCATAGTTTCATTATATACATTCTTGAACTATATTATATTCTACGTACTACAGTTGAAAAACATGCTTTCTAATAAAGCAAATTATTTATATAAATAATTAAATATATAACCATACAACATATGAACAATAAGTATAATTAGTCTAATTGGTTAGAAGTTTGTGGTAAAAGTGTGCTACAGTCAATTTTTTTTTTTTAATTGGCATCATTCAAAAATCGGGGCGAGAATTCCCCGTCCCCGATAAATGCCCGCGGGGGACGGTGATGGGGAATAATTCCCCATCCTTGCCGGGGAACGGGGAACGGGGACCCCATTCCCCGGCCCCGCCCCGCCCTGTTGCCATCCCTAGTTTTTCATAATATCGACAGTGAACTGTTTTAGGTCAGAAAGTTAATTAGTCGTTAGAAATTATCAAAGTGCATGAAACCACACTTGGTATCAGAGCTTTTAAGTCTACATATTCGTAGGGAAGTTCTATTTTTTGTATTGGATAATTTTCTTGGCAGAAAATTGATCTTAGTTTTAGTTTTCTTGAAAGTTGTGAGTTCTAAATCTTGGTTCTATTTTTTGTATAAGAGCTTGCAAATCGGTTACCAGAGAAAGATAATTCTTTGGCGGTGGATGCGGCGAGCGAGAAGTGCTACCGGAAGGAAAGCGATGAGGTGCAAAGAAAGTGCTACTGAATTCTCTATCAACAATTCATCATACGCTATGAAATCTAAACAGTTTCGCTAATCAAACCTAATTCAGTATAACAAATCCACCAAATGTGATGCATATTTCCGCTACCAATCAAATCATAAAGCTAACCAGTCAATCAGACATTTCATTTGCACAAAAGAAAAAAACGAAGAAAGCGAAAATTAACCAAATCTGAGCACATAAATTAACTGTAAACACGCAAATTCATAGATAAACAACTAAAAACACATAAAAATAGTGGGAGGGACTACAATAAACAGCTAAAAACACATAAAAATGGTGTGTCATTGAGACGGACTACAATAGAGCGGCTCTCCAAAGAAGGAATTCTTGGACTTTTGGTTGTGCGGATCTCCGTCTTCAACAATTCACTATTCCATTATAGACTTGGTACTGACCGAGTAAGGATTATTTTGGGTGAGTTGTTTCATCTCTACCTTTCTGGAGTTGGAGATAGTGAATTGGACGCACTGATGGTCGTCCCCCAGATTAGATACACATTGTATCGAACTGGGTAACCAATATCCATGTCAATTACTTTCTTTCGTTTATATTTTACACACTGTGTTCATTATTGTTTGATTATCTGGTAGAGTCACTGGTTAGATTTTGCATAGGGATGACAATTCAACCCGTCTCGACGGGAAAAACCGGTATCCGCCCCGGAGGAGCGGGTTCGGGGAGAATTTCCCCATCCCCGCCAGGGACGGGGACGAGTACGGGAACGGGAGGGCATTCCAAATTAACTGTAAACACGCAAATGCATAGATAAACAACTATAAACACATAAAATATCGAGAGAGGAGAATCGGACCATCACCGTTTTTATCGAAGAGTCTGAAGGCTTCCTTTAACTCGGAGATCTGATTGTCAGTCAGCTGATATGCCATTCTCTGGCTGAAGGTTGTTCCGATAACAATTCCGGCCAACAGGTGCAAGGAAAGTGACCTAAAATGATCGATTTACCCCTGAATTAAACAAATCAAAATGGATTAAATGATTTCGGCGACAATTGACCGGATGGACCAAATCTGTTAAAAATTACATAGTTAGAGTACTAAATTGTTAGTTTTTAAAGTTGTGAATTGAAATTAACCAGACCCTAATACTCATAGGACCAAAAGTGTAATTTTTTCTATAATTTATTATTACTTTTATTATCATTATTATTATTATTACTGTGCAAGGGACAAAGGGTATATTGATCTTTATAGTTATTATCTCTTATAATTTCAAACCTAATCAAACAATAGAATTTATTTACAATCAATCAAACAATGGAATTAATTTTCTTAATAATTTCTTTTATATGAAATTTAAATATCATTTATCTTCAATTATTTTCCAGAAACCAAACCAACCATAAAAGGTATGGAGTGGATTATTAATTACGGAGTATTATTTTGGTCCATGTATTTTTTTAGTTTAGTTCTTTCAATATATCTAAATTGTAGATGAATTATTTACACATACTACCTTGCAAAAAATCATAAATATTATTTAAAAGAAACTTAACAAAAATATAATCAAATAAATTTTAAAATATTATCAAAGAAAAATTATAGTCCCAGACCGAAATATCCTAATTCGCTCCGGACCTCGTTGGAGCTTTATAAGACCATACAAATACACTCCTCCCATTCACTTCCCTTAAACCCCATACAACCGCACCCTTATCCCCTTCTTCTTCTTCTTCTTCTTCTTCTTCTCTGAGGCCATGGCATATACTTCCTCCATTATCGGTGTTTCCTCCATATTCCAAGCTAACCCGTCTCTAGAACATTCCAAGAGGCCTACTTCTACTCCTCCTCTATCTTTCCCTCAATCCTTTGAGAAGCTTCATTTCAATCCCCTAAAAGCTTTTTCTTCATCGTCGCTTGTTCGTTCAAAGCAGTGCTCGAGTTCGAGCCCGTTTGTTGCTTCGGCTGTGGTCACTCCCAATTCTTCTCTGCTCAGCGAGGAGGCCTTCAAGGGGCTCGGCGGGTTCGCCAAGGATTCCTTGGATGTCAGCGACGCTGAGTATGATTCGGAGCTCGATGAGGATGAGAGCGAGCTCGGAGCGGCTGATAGTGACGATGAACTTGCAGTTTCCAAACTAGGTTTGCCTCGGCAGTTAGTTGAGACTCTTGAGAAACGAGGGATTACCAATCTTTTCCCAATTCAGGTACTGTATTTTCCTTCTGGTTTGTTTTTCCCTGAATTCTTAGAGCATATATATTAAATTGTTGTGTAACTGTTTATTTTATATTTTATTTTATTTTATTTTTGTCATTGTTGAATTGCCGAATAACAAGTTTAAGTCCTTAGCCTTCATTTTTAACAATCTTGGGATCTAAGAAATTGTTGATTATATTATTTTGGTGAATGTAGAAACTCATCTTCGGGTCATAATTACTATGTGGACTTAATACCAGCTGGAGTCCTCTAAGTATTTAAGTATAGTAACACCCCATGTTTAGTAACTTTCAATTTAATTGCTCAGTGGTACTTCAACTTCTAAATTTAACCACCAATGGTCTTTCCTTTAGTTTAAGTAAGGGTAAAATTAGTACTTGAGTTTGAAAGTTGAAAGACCATGGGTGGTTAACTTGAAAGTTGAAGGATTAAGGTTGGTTAAATTTAAAAGTTGGTGGTTAAATTGAAAGTTTAGGACTAAATGTGGGCAGTGCTACTATACTCGGAGCACCCCGGTTGGTATTAACTCTTACTATGTGACTGGTCAGTTAAGTATTAAAATTGACACCTATTGCAAGTAAATTGGCTCAAGATTACTGAACTCCTGATGATAAATTTGCTTCCAAAGCATTATGTTGAGCATAATCAAATTTAAGTCTTTGGTTATATCATTTTCCAGTTGCAGTGGTGGAAGCTTGTCTTTAATTTGCCTATGGCAATCAACCTTTTGGTTTTATGTATACCAGTGTGTGTTGCATCCCCATTGAATTGACTATTTTGTAGCATGCAATTGTGGAGCTTATATTTATTTATTTATTTAAGTAATTATAATAAGTTCAGTTTTTAATATGAATATGTGTTTTGACTCTAGTGTTTGCCCCTTATAGAGGAAAATTCTTATTCATTATTCTTATTTTTCCTTTCTCACATTTATGTAGAGAGCTGTATTGATACCTGCATTGGAAGGTCGCGATATAATTGCTAGAGCAAAAACTGGGACAGGGAAGACACTTGCATTTGGTATCCCAATAATTAAAAGGATTACTGAAGATGAACAGTCAAAATTTTCTCAAAGGTATTATTTTAATCATAAAAGTGAATTGAATGCTACTTCAATTATTTGATGAGTGAGATAAAAATTCTTTCTTTTTATGAAGGCGGGGACGACTGCCTCGAGTTTTGGTCCTTGCACCTACTAGAGAGTTAGCCAAACAAGTAGAGAAAGAAATAAAAGAATCAGCGCCGCACTTAAACACTGCCTGTATATATGGAGGAGTCTCATATGTTACACAGGAAAGTGCACTTTCCCGTGGGGTTGACGTGGTTGTTGGAACTCCAGGTAGACTCATTGACCTGATCAACAATAATAGCCTGAAGCTGGGGGAAGTTCAGTATTTGGTACTTGATGAAGCTGATCAAATGCTTGCGGTTGGGTTTGAGGAGGATGTGGAGGTAATCTTGGAAAAGCTTCCATCACAGCGGCAGAGCATGCTATTTTCTGCAACCATGCCTAGCTGGGTAAAGAAACTAGCGAGGAAATATTTGAACAATCCACTGACAATTGACTTGGTAATTTTTCTTCTCCTTATGGAATAGTGTTTTCCTTTATCTTTTAAATAATTATTGATCAATGCATGCCAGTGAAATCTTTCTTCATTGAAATAAAATGTCATTGACTAACACATTATGTTTAAAATCTCATTTGCTATTTCTGAAGTTCCGCTTAAAGCATATAGGTCTACATTTTAATTAAAATTTGTGCTACATGGTTATGCTACTTGATAGAGTCAAACCTCAACTTTATAAGTAATCTTTTTCTGTCTTTTCTCCATAGGTTGGTGATGAAGAGGAAAAGCTGGCTGAGGGGATCAAGCTATATGCAATACCGACCACAGCAACCTCAAAACGGACTATTCTCAGTGATCTTATAGCGGTATTGAACAGTTTGTGTTTTTATTTTTATTTTTTATGGAGTATAAAACAACTTGCTTCCGCATGTGTAAGTTTAGCGGTGGCAAGTTATGTATTGCCTGTCCTCTGATCTTTAAATTTTCAACAATCTTTCAGGTTTATGCTAAGGGTGGGAAGACAATAGTATTCACACAGACAAAGAAAGATGCTGATGAGGTTTCCATGACATTAACAAACATCATTCCTTCGGAAGCATTGCATGGTGACATTTCCCAGCATCAGAGAGAAAGAACCTTAAATGGATTTAGGCAAGGAAAATTCACAGTCCTGGTTGCAACTGATGTTGCAGCTCGCGGGCTTGATATCCCCAATGTTGATTTGGTAAGTTAATTTATCCATTCATGAATTTCATGATATGCATTTTCATGCCACCAAAGACATGCGGATTTTTGAAGTGTTAAGCTTATTTTGAAGGATACTTCGAAAGCAGTTGGGAAGTATGTCTGCATACCTTAATTCATTAATACAATTCATTCACCAAGAAAGCAATCTATGTTAGTTCAGAGACAACTATAAATGAACAATCAATATCCAATTTAGATGCTTTAAATAAGACATGTGATTGAATCGTTGGTGATAACTCTTCATCATGGCACCACTACTTTTGTTACTCAAAATTAGTCTGGTTGTGAAGAACAGTAGTAATATAGAACCACCATTAATACCTATCCAAAAAATGATCTGGTTTACAGTTGGCATCATTCTTAAAGACTTCCTGTCATTGATTTACATTTTTGTCCAGGTAATCCATTATGAACTTCCCAATGATCCCGAGACTTTTGTGCACCGCTCTGGTCGAACAGGACGTGCAGGAAAGGAAGGCAATGCTATTCTGATGTTCACTAGTAGCCAAAGGCGAACTGTCAGATCTCTTGAGCGTGATGTGGGGTGCAGATTTGACTTTGTTAGTCCTCCGTCAGTCAATGAGGTTTTGGGCTCATCAGCTAAGCAAGTGGTAGCTAGCCTTGGTGGGGTCCATTCTGAGTCCATTGAGTACTTCATGCCAACAGCAAACAAGTTAATGGAGGAACAAGGAGTCAATGCTCTAGCTGCTGCGCTTGCTCTCTTGGGTGGTTTTGCAAAGCCTCCTTCTTCTCGTTCTCTAATTACTCATGAACAGGTAAATTATAGGTCTTTGGAATTGTGCTTGCCTTCAATTTTATAGGTTGATTCACGCCCTTGAGTTTGACCTCTTCTAGAGTCTCAGTTCATTTTGGGGGGGGGGGGGGGGGGGGGGGGGGGGGGGGTGGTGTGAATGCCTATGGTTTTGTCCTCCCTGTTGTTGCCATACTTTGACTTCCTCTGCCATTTTCCCTTCTTTTGCTTGACCTGGCTGCCCCTGGTTATAAGATAGATATGCATGAAAGGATTGCTTGAATTCATTGTCCTATAAGTGTATATTCCTAATCTGTTCTACTATCAATGATTTTTATGAACTTGTATTTGTACTGCAGGGATGGGTTACGCTGCAGCTTACACGTGACACTGGTTTCTCTCGAGGATTCATGTCTGCTAGATCTGTAACTGGGTTTCTGTCTGATGTTTATTCAGCAGCTGCTGATGAAGTCGGAAAAATACAGATAATTGCAGATGAACGGGTGTGTAACTGGGTCTCTGTCTATATATTTTGTATTGCATCTCCCTATTGATAACTGTAGAGACCTTTGCGTTATGGTCTTCTCATGTGCATGTTGCTCTAATAAACCATTTTTGTGGTCAGGTTAATGGTGCTGTTTTTGATCTTCCAGAGGAGGTTGCAACAGAGCTCCTAAATCAGCCATTGCCTCCTGGAAACACTATAACCAAGATTACAAAGGTTTGCTTTGATTTGTTCATCACAGTTTTTCATTCTATTAACTTCTGCATTGTTCATTACAATTGAACTTACTGTCTCTTGGATATGCCATCTCCAGAATATTGGCCTTGAGTTTGATGTGAATTTTGGTGATTACATGTGATCTTTACTATTTTACTGTCTCTTACAGTTGCCAGCTTTGCAAGATGATGGGCCCCCAAGTGATTTCTACGGAAGGTTTTCAAACAGGGAAGGGGGCTCACGAGGAGGGTTCAGGGACCGAAGAGGTGGTAGAGGAGCTTCCCGGAGCTGGTCTAGTGGTCGATTCTCCAATAATGATAGTGATGACTTGGATGATGGGTTTAGGCAGGGTGGGAGATCAAGAAGGGGAGGAAGTAACTTTGATGATGGGTTTAGACAGGGTGGGAGATCAAGAAGGGGAGGAAGTGATTGGCTGATTAGTGATTCGAGATCTAACCGGTCATCATCATTCGGAGGAAACAGGGATAGGTATGTTTTTCAATAAATCTTTATGCAATTGGGCATTACACTTGAAGTTTACTTGCTGTTAGGATCATGCACTTACCACTACACTAAAAGCTATAGCTAGTAGCGAAGACACAACTTTATTTCCTTATAGATTGCCATCATATTTTCGAAAGATAGGGTGTTGGATTTGGCCCTTTACCGGCCTCTGCCCAACAATCCTCCTAGCCACATGGTGCTGGACTTGGCCCTTCACTAGCCTCGGCCCAACAATTCCACTAGCCACATGGTGCTGGACTTGGCCCTTCACCGGCCTCCGCCCAACACCTGCATATATATATATATATATATATATATATATATATATATATATATAATAGATATAGTGTAGGTGCTGAATCTTAAATCTGATGGGGTTCACTTGGTACAGGAACTTCAGTGGTGCATGTTTCAACTGTGGGCAAACTGGTCACCGAGCATATAAATGCCCTAGCAAGCGCGGTGGCTATTAGAACTGATGGTTGTCGAAAACTCCTAAATCTCCCTTTACTGCACTGACTGATGAAAACCTGGAGATCATTCCTGCAAGCATATCATTCACATTTCACACAGGAGCTGCAGCCAGCTGCAACAACAATTGCTTACTACCCCCCGGTGCCGGTGGTGTATCCTCCAACTTTCTCTAAACCTTATTAGAGTGTAGTATGTATAATGTTTAATCTAAATTTTGCTGCTGCTTTTATGCAGACATACTATCTATATCTATATCTATACTTGACACGGTTCAAAATGATATTATGACATTGATTTTTTCTGCATTTTATGATGATTTTGTTTCCTGCATTTCTATTTTGAAATTCAACTTTATTTTCTAACAGAAAGGATTGTTTTGAATTTGTGGTTTATTCTTTTTAATAAATCCAGTTGAAATGATATGAAGATGAGGATCGGTAAGTATCCAATTAGCAGTTATGATAGTTAGGCCATTCCAAAATCCATAAACACAAAAATCTCTCCTTCCACCTCTCTTGAAGGTATTTATTTTAACCTTGGATTCTCAAAATATTTCTTTATTTTATTTTATTTTTTGAGTACCCAATTGGGTATTAGGAAATAGGAATGAACTTAGACTTGCATTATAGAAAAATTATAGAAAATAACAGTGATGCAATTAAACACAATATACTTGACAAATACTGTTTATTATGTTAATTACATAATATATAGTGTCTTCATTATCAAACACCGTACAAGGGTGTGTTTGGTTCGCATATAAGAATCAGAATGAGAATCAAATACTTGGTAATAATAATAGGTTTTGATGAAAGTATTTTTCATGTTTGGTAATTGGTACTAGGATGAAATTGAAATGATTACCAATATTGATGTTTGGTTGTGTATGATCCTATAATGGGAAAAATATTTTAAAAATAAAAAAAACAAAAAAATCAAAACAATTGATCTTAATATAATGACATCCAAAGTATCGATATATGAACAAAAAAAATCAAAATAAAAATATAAAAATACTAATCCAAACTTAAAAATTAAATTACTAGATGGAATAATACTCCTTTTTAATTAGGGAATGAAATTTTTATTTGAATGCGTAATCGAAACCCATAGTTATGTTTTAAAAAGTTGTCAACCAAACACTAAGTATGATTTTGATTCTCAATCCTAAAGTGTAAACTCATGAACCAAACACACTTAAAATATTTATTGCAATTCTTACTATCCCTTCCAAACTATTAATATAGAGGTACAAATGTTGATGAATTGATGAGTATTTTGCATGATTGAAAAAATCACTTGGCCCTCCTCAGACGCCCGTGTATTTTATTTATTTTTTAAGACTTAATAATATAAACTGTTTAATACTAATATATTAAATATTAACTTTAAAAAAATCTCAGGTTTAAACGATTTAAGGTTTTTTTGTTTAAAAATGATGTTGTTTTGAGTGAAATAACTCATCTAAAAAAAAAAAAAAAAGAACAATAGCTAATCGGTCAATTAGGTAGCCTAATCGGCGCCTAGGAGACCACTTATACCACCGACTATGGTGATACGTCAGTCGGTTGACTGACGCCTAGTGCCTATGTGCGAATGGTATTTTGTAAGAGTGGAAAAGATTAAAAAGAACCAGGAATACAGTGGAAGTCTCACCTGTGCTTCATTGCTTGTAATGTAATGTTTAGACTAAGGTTATCTAGTGAGAAAAAAAACTCCATCCGATAAACAATTTTTTTTATGAGGACATCGACGGACAAAGAGACAAATCAAAATTAAATGATCTAATAGAGGTGATGTATGAATTAGATTGAATACAATTTTTTTTTTTTTTTTTTTTTTTTTTTTTGAAGGGCAATACAACTTTTAATAGATAGATTATAAAGTATACTAACCGGGAAAGGCAAATTATACCGTGTATCATGGTTCATATTGCAATTTAAATTATGAATAAATATTCATTTTAATATACTGAAGGTACATTATTTTTGTACTAAAGATTCATTATTTGGTAGTACTCAAATAGTGTTTCTTAAAAAAAAAGAGTTTTTAATGTATTAAAAATGTATTTTAATATATTTAAAAATATAATTATTATTTTTTAAATATTTAAAAACAGGGAAAATTATAAAAAATGCCCCTCTATAATATACCAATTATCAATGTCACACCTGAATTATGAGTGTTGTAAATGTTGCCCCTCAATTATCAAAATGGTGCACATATAGCCCCTCCCGTAACGGATCTGTGGTTCCCCACCTCTGTCCATCGCTGGTACTTTGAATCAAGGGAGGGAAAAAACAACTAAATTACATATTTACTCTGACTTAACGATGTCGTACACTAACGGGGAACCACATTCCGTTACAGGAGGGGCTATATGTGCACCGTTTTAATAATTGAGGGGCAACATTTACACTACTCATAATTCAGGGGTGACATTGATAATTAGCATATTATAGGAGGGACATTTTTTTACAATTTACCCTTAAAAATATATTTTAGTCATTGATTTATCTTGTTAGTGGACTATAATCCATGGTATAATGATTGACTGTGAAACCAATCAAACATACATGATGGAGTTTATGTAAATGGTTAAAGATTTGTCAACAATCTTGAAGCCTTTTAAGTCCAAGAATATTGTTAAAACATTAGGAATGGTGGTTCCAAGAGCTCAAAATTATTATTATTATTATTTGAGTTCTAACTTCTAAGCGACTCTATTACAATATAGTATGCTTGCATTAGAGTTCGAACATGTAACCTTCAATTCGAGAGAACCACAAAAGGTGCCTTGAGTTATAGGTACTGTTTGGTAAATGACTATTAATTGATAACTGTTAGTTTAGTTATATGCCTCCTCACGTGTGCGGTGGGTTCCAAGCACGTGGACTGTACGTAGTCGCTTATCGGGTGACGTAGAGATTCGAACCCATGACCTTTGGTCTGGCTCTGATACCAAATTGAAGCATGTGCTTCATCTCAACTAAAAGCCTAAGCTGATAGTTGGATTGCACATTAATGGTTATATGCAGATATGCTCAACACTGATAGCTGTTTGGTATAATTTCTTTTTTCAAAAAGCAATTGAAAAAGTTATTTTGAGTAACTTTTTGAATTTTAGCATTTTGGAATACAAAAAGCTAATTAACCAAACACTTATATCGATTTTTAAACCAAGTTAAACAAGTAAAAGTGGCCAAATAAATCAAAATTGACCTATAAGCTAACTATTTTACTAAACAGGGCCATAATCTATTTCACGCGCTGAAAATTATTTAATTGTATATATATTGCATTTTTAATTCAAAAGATTGTGGTGATTAATTAGAAGAATATTGGATAATAATTTTAATAATCATGAGTGAATCTTTGTTTTAAAAAATATTTTAAAATTTTATTGAAAAAAAAAACAAAAACAAAAAAAACCTCCTAGACTAACCAAAAGCCCCTCCCAATATTAAGCCATTGGCAAGGTTCCCACTACCCAGACACAACTTTTGGCAAGATGAAAGGAGATTTGGATATCATTATTTAATTATTTTTTTTGATGGGTTTTAAATAAATAATTGTGGGTGCAATTAGAGTCAAAACAAGTTTACCAGGACTATGTGGTCTAATGGTACCCGGGTTGGACTTCCATTTGGAAGATTACGAGTTCAAGGTTCTTTGTGTTTCAATAGGTTGAGAAAGTATATGAACAGATACTACAATGTAATAGAGCCAGTAACTTTCAAAAAAAAAAAAAGAGTCAAAACAAGTTTAGTGGGTAGTTTGGTTAGGGTTTCCTTTTTAATATACTTCTTTTCATTGTAAAAATGTTCATAGAAGAAGAGACTATTGCCTCATGCAATATTCATTTTCTTCCGTATGATTTCTCCAAACCAAATCTGAATTATCAAGTAAAAGATCACTACTCCCCAACGCATATCACTTGAGACGTTTTCTGAGTGCAGCGTATGAATAACTAATAAAAAAGAGTTCATTTTATTTTTATCCAAAATATATAGGTGAAAATTCATTTTTTTGTCCTCTATTAAAAAACCTATTTAAATGACATTAAATATGAATGCATTTTAGTCTATTCAATTTTAAGTGTTAATTTTTTTTTTATTTTTTAGAATTTATATGTGACATTTCACATTTCCACTATGTAGAGGCTTAAGTTGTGAAGGCTCTAACTGTGGAGGTGCGAATTGCAATTGAATTAGGATTTTTTTTTTTCAAATAACAAATACAAATATAACAAATTAACCTATTTTGCAACCAAGACTATGTGGTCTAATGGTACCCGGGTTGGACTTCCATTTGGAAAGTTGTGAGTTCGAGCCTCAGTGGAGGCGTTATTGGTTCTTTGTGTCTCAGTAGACTTGAGAAAGAAAAAAATATAGAAATGCTTTCGTATTCACCGTCCCTTTTCCGCCCTGGTCTGCTCATTCCTCTTCTACAGGTCATCGTAGTGTGTCGAAATCGACTGCACCTTACCTTACGCAAAATTGAGGCACGAAAAGGGACATCAGAGAAGACAAATAAAGGAAAATTACATTTCTATCCTTGTTTTAAATGTCTAACAAACGATAGTTTGGGTCAAGGACCATTTTGATTAACAATTGTATAGTTGGGAACGAAATTAAGAAAGTTTAAAAGTCAAGGACCAACGTACTGAAATCTTTATAATCGAGGGACCAAATCGAGTATTAACTCTATCAGAGTAATACTAAAGACCAACAACAAATGTTCAAAAAAAAAAAAAGAAGTAATGACTTGACATCTATAAATCTAAACTAAGAATAAAAAAATGAAATTAACTCAATAAAAAAAAAACATGCTAACCCTAAAACATGTACCGTACAATCTGCCAAGCCAAGTAGAACTTTAAAGCTAACAATCCTTTTTCTTTTTTGAAAACATAAGATGCCATTACGACAAATCACAGCAAAGTGCATTACAAATGAAGGAAGGGAGTTCACAGAACCATTCCTTACGATCTGTATTAAAAATAGAATCCCGAGCAAGCAAGTTGGCTCCATTCGCAGAGCGTTTAACAAAAGGGATTGTAACATTGTCAAGCTGACACAATAAATCTCACATCTAAATAACAAGATCATAAGATCATATGAACAGGCTTGATTGTTAGACTTGAGAGACTGGATGACTGTAAAGCTTACAATCTTAAGCTGATAATTGAGTATTCCTTGAGCCAAATTAAACAATTGGGAACTGGAATGACGTCATTTTTTAATCCATGAGATTGATGAGACCTCAAAGATCATGGAAAATGGTCAATGCAGTGCCCTGTAAACTCAAAGAAAGAAGAAACATAACATATGCCCTTCATTTGTAAAATCAACAACACAACAGAGTACAGTGTAGTTAAATTTTAAGCACATTAGAAGAAGTACCTAACACATGTTTTATTCAAGAACTTCCAATGCCAGAAAATTGATTACAAACTTGACAATAAACTGTCAGGTTAGCAGAAGTGCATTAGATAATGTATTATCAACAAATTGAATGAAAAGTTAAGGGTGGCCAATAGCCAATCATTATTAACAGACCAAAAAACTGCCATATTGCCTCGATAATGCAATGTTATGTACGCAAACTACTCCGGTTGTGAGCCTCTTGGCTTCTTGAGAACCAAGAGTCGGCAACTTGGCTGAGTATATCAACCAACAGGTTATGAGGAGCTTGATTCAGTATCACTTGATGGTGGTTGGTGAGTACTTGCTTGTGGCAGGTATGTGTAGGCTGCCATAGAAACTCCAATGGCAGCAGAAAGTCCAATGAAACTCCATAACCACTTCTGTTGAGTCCTCTTCCGCTGGCGTTGTTTCCGTGCAGCATCTGCATAATTTAAAAGCCGTAAATAAATCAGGTCCAAACGATAGTGTTTCTAGTATTAAAAAATTATGTGTGTATATTCATCTTAAAATTCATAACAAAAATTTTATTTCACTATGTTTCCCCTACTCATGCTTCTCTCTCTCGGAAAGACATAAAACAGCAAATCAGATGAGCAATAAGACAAGAGAAGAAGAGAAGAAAAGCACACCAATGATTTCCTGGTTCCTAAGAGACATCTCATGATTAACTGCCTCATAATATTGTAATCTGTCCTTCAGACGAGAGATCTCCTGGTTTTTCGTTTCAAGGATTGCCTCCGAAGTAAGTTCAGCTTCAGCACTTGCTTGACCTTTTCCTATTGCCTTAGCAACAAATCTAGTAACAGCTAATTCCTGAGTAAGCTGCTCAATTGAGCCATGCTCAAGCTCCATACCAGAAACGACATCTGATGGTAAAGGAAATGTTAAGCCTTCCTGGGATAAAATGTCACGGATTTTAAGCCACTGGCTACGCATCACAATTAGAGCATCTTCCGCAGCCTTTCGCTTTTTTGTTTCTTCAAGGAGCTCGTGCGTTAAGGAGTGAAGTTTTGATGCAGTAGTAGTATCATGGAGCAATACATTTGAAGCAGGCTCTTCAGTGACCCACTCTGTAGTAACAAGTAGGGAAAATGGCCAAATAAGTCCTTGAATTAGATACAATAGTACAATTAAGCCTCTGAACTTAAAAAAAAAAAAAAACTCAAATTAGACCCTTGAACTCGCAAAAAAAAAAAATGCAATTGAGTCCATTTTACATTATTATTACCTGCTATAGTAGGTTATCGATCACTTATGTGCCATTTTTTTAGTTGATCTGTCATGTTTAATTTCCTTTTATAATATGAATTACTATTAAATTTTCTTTTTATTTAATTAATAAATGACTAATTTATTGCCTTAATAATAATAATACTTGTAATAATTAGGGATAAATCATGGGAGATGAATCTAAAGATGCTCCTTTGGCAATCTATTTAACCAATTGCCTTTGAAGAAAAATTTAGCCAAGACTCAAAGAGTAATAGTAAGATCAATGATAATATCTTCCTTTATTTTTCATTTTTGCATAGCAATTTGATTTATTCACTTGAGCATCTAAAAAAGGAAAGGTTGAGATCTAAACCAGGTGGCCAGACCTTATAAACATTGAAATTGTACTCACCTTATTGCAATTTTTATGAGATAACATAATCCCATCAGGATATGGAAAATAAAACATTTAACAGTACTTTTCAGCAGGAAATGCTGACTTAACAAAAATTTCACTGCTAAACAAAACTCATCCTGTTTGGTAAAAAATTGGCCTATAGGCCAATTTTGGCTTATTTGACCACTATTAATTGTTTGATTTAGTTAAAATATCAATATAAATGTTTGGTTAATTAGCTTTTTACAAATTCAAAAGGCTAAAATTCAAAAAGCTACTCCAATCAACTTTTTCAATTAGCTTTTTGAGAAAAAAAATTATACCAAATAGCTATCAGCTAAGAGCTAATTTACCAAACACTTTTCTACAATCAACTAATGTTATTAACTATTTATACCCTCTAATTAACACAATCAGCTAACAGCTTCAGCCATTTTACCAAACAGGGTATAGTCTTATGGTATCAAATTTTCAGCTAATACCAATCTGCAATTCACAAGAGAACCCAACAGATATCCAATAACTTTCAAATAATTTTACAAAAAGACAAACAAAACAATTTGCATAATACAGCATCAGTATATGGATTAAATTGACAAAGCACAAATAGACATCCCAATAATTTGAATACCACAAAAAGTGATAAAAAGACAAATTAATCAAATACAGTGATATTTCAAAGAAAGAAGCAAAATTACCTTCATCTGCATCGAAAAATTCAGACATATTCCTGGGGAAACCAAATCCTCTTACCTCATGAGCACTTACGACACTCGACGTATCAAACTCAGGATCAAAATACTCCTCACCTGCGCCCTCGAATTCCTCGATTCCATCTCCGGCCACCTCCGTATGCCCGCCAATTTTATCCTTCACCAAGTCCTCCTCCTTCTCCTGTTCATTTTCACCATGATAATTCAATTCAATCCCAGCCTTCTCCTCCTCACCACATTTCTGCACTTCCGGAACCTGAAATCCATCGATTTTCCCGTTCACGCGACGTTCTCCTCCACGCCGCTTGTGGTTAACGACATACGGAGACGGTGAGAGCGGTGCGGAGGAAAGCTCGGGGATCGGAGCTGATACCGGAGTTATATACAGAGCCGGAGAAATGTAAACATGATTGGCAGAATGAGGCTTGGAATCAACCACTTCCTCCCTCCGAGCACCATTATACGCGCCACCGTTACCGGTGCTCTTATTGGTATAACGCGCCTGCGGTTTGGTGGCGAATTTCTGGAAACCGAATGGCGATTTGTAGGTATCTCGATCGCGAGGCTCGATAAGATTCTCTAGGGCGATGGTCGTGAAAGTAGGCATGTTGGCCGGCGGCAGAGATCAGAAAATGGTGAAATTTGTGGCGGCGGAGACGGAGGCGAAAGAGAGACGAGGCGGGAAGGTGGAGGGAGAGTTTTGGAATGTGGTGAATGGCCGTGTGATTCTCCACCCACTTTGGAACTTCTCTACAAATTACAAAATACAAATACTCCCTTCGGACTATGCATTTAATTTAATTTCTTTTTTTTTTTTTTTTGGCTTGTTCTTAAAGAACAAGATACTTCCAATTTATTTATAAATTATTGACTCAACAACGTGACGGGAAAAACACAGATTATTATTATTGGTGGTTGTATTTTTTATTTTTTTAAAAATTATTTTGGCTTATTCTTGATGAACAAGATACATCCAATTTATTCTATAAAATACAAATAATAAAGTGAGACACATTTAGTACCAAGTTTCCAAATTTGACTTTAAGTAAGATCTCCCAAATTTTGTGGATCCTCGCTCCATTTATAAATTATAACCCCCGGGTCCCCCAACAATCCCCAACCTTAAACTAAGGGTCAGTGGTCCAAGCAGTTCTCTAGATCTTGAACCAATAGATCACTTCTAGGCCGACCGCTCAGTTGTAGTGCCACCCAAACAATTATTATTATTATTATTATTATTATTATTATTATTATTATTATTATTATTATTATGTTGTTGTTGTTGTTGTTGTTCGTCATCATCTATCATTGTTGTTGTTGTTGTTGTTATTGTTGTTGTTTTTTTTTTTTTTTAATGTCAATTTGAATTTTTTTTCTTCTAAATTTGTCAAAGCAGGTTGACGGATTAAGCCTACTAAAGTTCGTAACGGCCCAACTTGTGCTGCCCACTACCAATCATTATACGGTGGACCATGGTCTAAAACAACACTATTTCTTTTAATGAAAAGAAATGAATGTTGTTACTTTCATCCAATTATGCGTCTACGACGTGCCCAATTTCTTCATTATTATTTTTTTAAATATATATATAAAGGAAGCCGAGATTCAGCCAATCAGATTGCTTCTTTTTCCAGCTTCAGTTTTACGACATCATTTTCTCATTTTTTTTCTTTTTTTTTTTTTGAATTCAAATTTTTGCTTCTCCGGCCTATTTAGTTTGTAATCAGAAACTTGTGGGGTTAGTCCTAGAATTTAGGGTAGTGGGCTAATATCTACTGCAGAGTTAGTAATGTAATGTGTTTAGGTAGCGTGTAAATTAGTCTAAATGGGTATGAGAGTGCTTAAAAGTACATGTTGTGTATTATTTTATACATTACTCAGCTGATTTCTACGCCTATAAATACATTCATATTCTAAGTGTTGATATGCAAACACAGAGCGAAGTGAAATAAATTACAAGGTTGAGAGTGCTGATCCTTTATGCAAATAGAAATAGAAATATAAGAAAGTAAAGATCAAGGTTATTAGCATTGTTTTCTGGCTTGCAGTGGCAGCATGTCTGGGTAGTTTATTATGGGGGTGCAGCTTCATCCTCAGCAGACCTCAAAGGCTATAAGGTTGCGTTGTGTGCGGTCTTATGTTGTCACTGAAAATAAAGGTGAAAAATTAATAAGAAGTCAAGAATGTCTATTTCATCATCAAGAGGTTTGTAAATTATATACTACCATGCTTTGTATTTTTATTTTTTGCACATCTTATATTGTTGATATCTAACTTAGTTGTTTTTTGTGTGTTTTAAATATAGGGTGTGTTTATCCATGTCCATATACCTAAGGCAAAATATAAGAACATGTTCAAGGAGGGTAAAGTGTATGCTATTAGAAACTTTCTATGCATTATTAACTTCTTCAAGTATAAAACAATCACTCATCGTTACATGATGAAGTTCAAACACGATACACTAGTGAAGGAGTATAAGCGTGTGAATTTTCCAAAATCAATGTTTCGCTTCAAGAGTTTTGAAGCCATACTTTCAAAGCAAGAAATCGACGAGAAAGTGTTGATAGGTTAGAGTTTAAAAAAATGTTTTCTAAAGTCACAATGTTTTATTATAAATATTATGATGTTAAGTTTTATTTAACTAATATGCTGCTATTTTCAAATACAAATGTCATTGGTCGTATTGTAAAGATATATTCTCCACAGGAGACGGTAATAGCTGGGAAAAAGAGTAGGCTAATTGACTTTGTGCTTGAAGATTCTAGGTATGAATCCTTAATTACTATATTTTTTCTCCCTAAGGTTGATTTTAAAAGTCTATCTTATGCTTTTTCTGTTGCTATTAAAATCTTATGTAGTAAAAAGCAGATTAAGTGTACACTGTGGGATGAGCATGTGGATCAACTAACTCCTTATTTCCACTCAGTTGCTAATGATCCAGTTATATTGTTGATTCAGCTTTACCGAGCTAAATACAGTGAGTGATATGTATTATATTTCTTAATTTTCATCTATGTTTCTACTTTGTTGAGTTAGGAATTTGTATTCACTATTTTTTTTTTGGCAGATGGTGAAGTACGCATCTGCAGCTCTTTTGATGCTACGCAGCTGTTTTTCACACACTCTTGCAAAGAGTTTCGTGAGTTAAAGAGCATGTCAGTTTCTCTAAGCTATTTTTACTGGTCTGTTTAATAAGTAAAAATTTTTGCCCTAACCTTTATTTTCCTGTTTTATGTTAGTAGCTATAATAGTAATCATACACCTTTACGGTGTATAGATTCTGATTCCAGGTTTTCTGATGGTTATCTTGGTAGTGATGTGCATCATAGTGATGTGTTTGTTAGTTCTATTGAAGATATATACTCCAAAAAACATGTAATGTCTTCTTCTATGACAGCCTTTACTTAACTTTTTATCTATGTTACTTATTTATCTGATTCTTACTTGCAGCTAGGGGAGCATTGGGTGGCAGGTACAATTGTTGATGTAGAGAGTTTAAGTGACTGGTATTACATCTCTTGCAAGAGTAATTCTTGCAAGAGAAAGGTTGCTGTTGAGGGTGGTATGATGTACTGTGGTGGGTGTAAAAGTTATTGGCACAAGGGAGTTGTGAGGTATAGGGTGATTGTCTGTGTTGCTTATTATACTGGGGATGCTCCTATGCTTATATGGGATCGTGAGTGTGCGGAACTGGTTGGTGTGTCAGCTGGTGATTTAAAGGCTAAGTATCCAGAGGTAGTTATTCCTATGCAACATAGCTGGCTGCTGAATTCACTACTTTAAATGCTCATGTGTTTTATCTTTAAATCTTTGTAGGGGAATAATTGTATTCAACCTGAGCTAGGGTGTTTGCGTGGCATGTCTATGCTGTTTCGTATTGCTATGAAGAAGGAGCAGGTAGAGAGTTACTACTCTGCTTTCACAGTTCTTAGGATTTGCAGGGATGAAGCAGTGCTGTGTGGCTTAAGTCTGTCAACTGGCAGTTTAGAAGCAGAAATTGGTTCAGGTGATGTAGGTGATTTTTTGGATGGTGACGTAGATGGTGATGCAGGTTCTGAGGTATTTCTCTATCACTGTTTGGTTTATTTGGCAAATGTGGTCTTATTTATTGCCCCTAATGGTATTTCCTTCAGGAATTCTATGGTACTGATGATGAAGAATGTGTTGAGGTGGAGGATGGTTCTCAAGGTTTAGCAGTGGACAAGTTTGCTGGCTTGGATGACATTGAAGATGATTTAGGGGTTAGTGGTACTGTTGTGCCTCTGAAGAGGTCTCTGTTTAAGGATTTTGTGTGTGCTGGGACATCAAAGAAGGCTAAGGAAGTGGTGGTGAAGCAAGAAAAGTAATAGGTTTTTCTAGGTTTTTAAATGGGATGTAGTACTACTAAGTGTTAACTTTTTGTTGTTTTTGGGTAGTGGTTTTTCTTGGTTAAGGCTAGAAAATGCATACACTGCAATGTACTCCTAGAAAGTAGAATCATTCTATTTTCCTATTTCGGTCTTGGTTTTCTGGAAGCTGCATTAACAGCAGTGCCTAATGTATTGGGTCTTAGCAGCAACAGGTAATGTCATTGTAATGTACTTAGCCTTCTAATATGAAATTATCTACTTATGATTATAAGCTAATATTTGCAGTTAACCTACACAGAGAAAAACATTCACATACATATTGGAGGTATACATAAAAGTTTACAAGTAGACAGTTTTGGAAAGGGAAAACAAAAAACAAACATGTAATATTTTAAAAAACCAGTTCCATAAAGTAAATAAAATAAAATAAAATAAAAGCTTGTAGGAATATTATATCATCACTTGCCTCTATTTTAAAGTATTAGTATTTGCTCAAATAGATGAATACTGTGTCATAATGAAAAAAAAATAAGAAGAAAGAAAATCACATCAAAGTTTAAGAGTAAAATACAAGTTACACAGTACCCAATAAATACATGTACAAATACTTTTGGTATACACCTATGGCTTCTATCAAGCATTAATTGTTGATGGTAAAGTTTGACTAATGTGGATTATTTGTTGATAATGACTTTTCTTCATCTGTACAACTTCCTATGTATATATGCATAGCATTTAAGTCACCAAATACATGCTTTATATTCATTCCCAAATTATATATACATACAATTGGTAGCAAAAAAATGTTTTAAAGATTTTGCTAGAAACAGAAAATGTTTAATTTCAAATTCTGAATTTAAATCTTAGGAAATATTTAAAAATTGAATGACGGTAAATGAGTCTTAGTGTTGATTTAAGAAAATGAAATTTTCAGTTACATTAAATGCTTAAAATTATTAAGTATACATTTAGAGTAAAATAATGTCATTCTAAAGTACAGTAACTATCAGAAAATTAATTTAGATACATATATATCTTAGAAGTGCAATTTGAAATAATTTTTCTTAAAATTTTTTGATAAAATAGTTTTACTGTAAAGGAAAAATAAAATTCTAAAAAAATATTAAGTAGTGTTATAAAGGAATTTAATTGGCGTCTACATAAAACAATGGCATCAGACTCATGTATCATCACTTGCCTCTATTTTAAAATATTAGTGTTTGCTCAAATAGATGAATAGATGAATGTTGTGTCATAATGTAAAAAAAAAAAAAAGATTTTTAAAAAAAAGGAAAAACACATCAAAGCTTAAGAGTAAAATACAATTTGCACAGTATCAAATACATACATGTACAAATACTTTTGGTATACACTTATGGCTTCTAACAAGCATTAATTGTTGATGGTAAGGTTTAACTAATGTGGACTATTTTTTGATAGTGACTTCTCTTCATCTCTACAA